TTATATAAACAGCGCATGTTTTGGACACTCAGGTGAAGAGAGGGGCAGAGCTGTCATCTGACCACTACCTGGCAGTGAGCTGGCTCCAGTGGTGGGGGAGGATGCCAGTCAGACCTGGCAGACCCATCCGGGGGAGGTAGGGGACAGTGAGTGGGCCATGTTCCGTGCCTCCATTGTCTTCTTCAGTCTCAGCAGGGACTACCGCATGGTTTCGAGGTGATTCTGGTCCACCATCCAGCGTCTCAGCGGGGGAAAGCGGTTCGCCACCAACACTATTTATGGTGGGGATAGTGCACTGCTGACCGCAACTCGGGACGTTGTGGGTCGGTGGGCGGAATACTTCGAAGACCTCCTCAACCCTACCAACATGTCTTCCCATGAGGAAGCAGAGCCTGAGGATCCTGGGTCGGACTCTCCAATCTCTGGTGCTGAAATCAGCAAGGTGGTTAAAAAGCTCCTCGGTGGCAGGGCGCTGGGGGTGGATGAGATTCGCCCGGAGTTCCTTAAGGCTCTGGATATTGTGGGGTTGCATTGGCTGATGCGACTCTACAATATTGTGTGGACATCGGGGGCAGTTCCCCTGGATTGGCAGACCGGGGTGGAGGTCCCCCTATTTAAAAAGGGGGACCGTAGAGTGTGTTCCAACTATAGGGGGATCACACTTCTGAGCCTCCCTGGTAAGGTCTATTCAGGGGTCCTGGAGTGGAAGGTCCGTCGGATAGTCGAATCTCGGACTCAGGAAGAGCAGTGTGGTTTTCGTCCTGGTCGTGGAACASTGGACCAGCTCTACACCCTCAGCAGGGTCCTGGAGGGTGCATGGGAGTTCGCTCAACCAGTCTACATGTGTTTTGTGGACTTGGAGAAGGTGTTCGATCATGTCCCTTGGGGACTCCTGTGGGGGGTACCCCAGGAGTGTGGGGTAGCAGGCCCATTGATACGGGCTATTAGGTCCCTGTAGGACTGGTGCCAGAGCTTGGTCCACATTGCCAGTAGTAAGTCGGACTTGTTTCCAGTCAGAGTTGGACTCCGCCAAGGTTGCACTTTGTCACTGATTCTGTTCATAACTTTTATGGACAGAATTTCTAGGAGCAGCCAAGGTGTTGAGGGGATCTGCTTAGGTGACCTTAGGATCACATCTCTGCTTTTTGTGGATGATGTGGTCCTWTTGGCTTCATCAGATCCTGATCTCCAGCTCTAACTGGAGCGGTTCACTCTCGGTTTACCAGTCGGTCTACGTTCTTACCCTCATCTATGGTCACAAGCTTTGGGTAGTGACCGAAAGAACGAGATCACAGATACAAGTGGCTGAAATGAGTTTCCTCTGCAGGGTGTCTGGGCTCTCCCTTAGAG